CCTCTTCATCCTCTGCAAGAGAAGGTTGAGAGGCGACCTCGTGGCTGCCTATAAGTTCATCACAGGGGCACAGAAGGTAATCGGTGATGCTTTACTCACCAAGGCGCCCCTGGGGGTTACAAGAAATAATGGCCACAAGCTAGCAGAGAGCAGATTTAGACTGGACATTAGGAAGAACTTCTTCACAGTTAGAGTGGCAAAGGTCTAGAATGTGCTCCCAAGGGAGGTGGTGCTCTCCCCTACCCTGGGGGTCTTCAAGAGAAGGTTAGATAAGCATCTAGCTGGGGTCATCTGAACCCAGCATTCTTTCCTGCCTATGCAGGGGGTCAGACTCGCTGATATGTTGAGGTCCCTTCTGACCCTAACATTTATGAATCTATGAATCTGTTGAGGTCCCTTCTGACCCTAGCATCTATGAATCTATAGTTTCCAAGCCATAGAAATCAGCCTTTGTGCTCGATACAGGGCAGGTTTGGCATGTTGGCACAGTGTGCTGTGTGGCCCTAGCCACACATACATCAGTTTGGGTCCCGGCCCCACATGGGATTAGGCCTGCTATCTTGGCCCTAGCCCCATGTACACCAGATTGGTCCCACTGCTCTGGGACCAGTTCCAGCCCTGCATGCAGCCGATCAGGCTCACTGCCCTGGTCCCAGTCCCACATACAATGAATTAGGCCCACCACCACAGCCCCACATACTGGCCTGATCCTGCACACAAGGCCATTTCATCCAGGTATGGGGTCTGGAAATTTTCAGTGGGGGATCAGTAACAGCATGAATTGCCACTCCTGTCCCCACTGCCAAAAATTCTGGATTCATGGGATATCCAATAGATCTGGGCCTGCAGGCCAGAGGTTGAGCACCAGTGATTTATACCAACAGAGGTTTCAACAGGAGTGCTGCCTAGAAAAAATTAATATGGTGATTCAATCTGGAAGTACTAAGGGCCCAATCTTGTTACACATTATATTGTACTCAAATGCTGATTGGTATTAGTGCTAGCTTGATTTGGAGCAGTCAAACATTCAGGCCAGAAGGAAACTAGAGAACTAAAAGGCAAGAATCCTCCCCCCCGCCACCCTCCCATCCATTCTAGGCCTCTCCCCTGATCCCCAAGGGTCCCCCAGTTTCCCCCTGCCCCCAGGGCTCCCCTCCTGTCCTTCAGGGTTCTTGCCTGCCACCTACAATTACTTGTGGCTCCCCCAAGTTACCCCTTGCCCCTGGAACTTCCTCAGTTCCCTCCCACCCCCAGGACTTGCCTCCTGTCCCTTGGGATTCCTGCCGCTCCCCCTACCCCCCCAACCCTCCCAGCTTACTTGTTGTTGTCTGTGGTGTTTGTTGCAAGGGACCAGGCAGGGAAGACTGCCAGCCCAATCCCTGCCACTTCTGGGCTGAACTCAATGGCCAGGCAGGAAGTTTAACCTTTCTCTGCCTGCTTCCTTGGACATACAGTGCGATCAGCCACAAGTAAGTGTAGGGGTGCAGAGGGGCAGGGATCTGGGGTTCTGGGGAAGGTTGGAGGTGTGGGAGGTGCAGTAGGCCTGATCCAGGCTTGCAAGTTTGGGTGGGGTGTTTATATTAAGGTGTAGTTTAGAGTGGCTAGACCTTACCGTAACACAAACTGACTAACATGGATCAGAGATAAACCTAGGCTGGAGTGGTATAACTTTAAGTCACCTAAACTGTGCTTAAAACTAGTTTCAGGTGTTAATGCATAGGCAATCCAGGTCTTAAGAGCTCCAGGAGCTGCTTAAAGTTAATGTGTAACAAAGTTATAAGAGGCTGCATCACTGAAATAATTTGCATCCAAAATGAAAATTGTCTGCACTTCTAACAGAAATAGAAAATGTGCTCTTTGCCACTTCTGTTATCCAGGTCTCCAGGAAAATCTGGAGGTTTAATGGGCTGTTGTATTTAAAAATAGAAAAAGATAAGATTCTCTTAACCACCCCTATCATAAGTGTCCCTTGGTTATAACAATCCCATTCTAAACAAAGGATCCTCTATCATTTTCCCTTCTATGGTGTTTCAGTATATGGTGAAGCTCCTGGATCTGAATGCTTGCTGAGTTTTGCTGAGAAAAATAATTTATGGGAGGTGATATTATTAGACAGCTTTTAGTATCTATCAGAATTTGTCAGATAAAGGATAACAGTAAAAATCTGCTTGAATAAATCAGAGTGCAGAAGACCTTTAAAAAGGTTAATGTAAATGGCAGGCAACCATTTAGTATTTTTATTTTGTTTATAAAGATTAAAGGATTTATTGCCTCTATGAAGTGGAGCTGCATTGCCCTGGAAAAAAATCTGTTTATAAATTCATATACCTGCATATGGATGTACTGTGTAGAGTGAAATATCTAAAAATAGCTTGACTACCTAGCAAACCTTAAAGCCCAGCAGAATTTAAGAAAGATTTGAATCTCCTTTTCCTTCCAAATAAAGTACATCTTTAATAGTCATGTAGTAAACACAAAGAAAAAAAAATAATTTTCAACTGAATCACTGACAAACCAAGCTGAAAGCAACAAGTTCTTTGCCATCTATCCTTCAAAAACAATCGCGTTATAATATTCAAGATGCAAACAGAGGGACTGAAGATTTCAGCTAGAACTAGAGGTAATGAACAACTGAGTTTGCATATCTATAGGGAATATACATGATGGAGATGCAGTATGTACTGACTCTATAGCTGCATGAAAGTTCTGGGAATGTTTTATGTCATATGGTGATTTGAATCCGATGCATTTTGCATGCTTTGGGTTCTGCTGTAGATTCTGATGTTAATGATCATCTTTTATTCCCCCAGGCTTTACACTAAAAACTGAAGAAAGTGGGACACTTGAACTGACATTCCTTACATGTATATATGTGGAGACTTCCATTTTCAGTGGTATGTGGTCTTCAGTTCTTGAATCTGCTTTTCCTTTTGTCCATCTGAGTCTGATTTTTGCTGCCTTTGAGGACACCTTGCAAAGCTTCTTTTCTTACCTAGGCTTTTTCTCCAAGGGAGCAGAGGGGTATGGTTATCTAACTGAAATCTGAGCATTTTTGACTTGTGCTAACTTTAATTGGTAACTCCTTTTTTGTGGTAGGTGCGAGTTTGTTGATTTAACTATGGAATCTGCCTAGGACTACTGGAAAGAACATGCTTTAAAAAAAAAAGTAAGTAAAGAAAAGGTCCTGGCCTGACTCAGGCAACTTTGCACTTGTCTTCAGGATAAATGACAGTGTGTTAATTGTTTCTAAGCAAATACCATTTTTCTTTGAGGCAAATAACCATTAGAATGTCTAAAATGACCTGGGAAACCTTTTAAGTGACAAAGATACCACACAGCAAGGTACATACTGGCTTATTTTGTCACTTAGATACAAAGTATAGATTCCAAACTGTCATTTCAAAAATAAAGCCAAAGCCTGAGTATATTCAGTGTCATTCTTCAAAGGGCACACATGATCTAATTAAAACCAATCTAGTATAATCTGAAGTGATAAATAGAAAAAAAATGAGTTGGAATGTACAGGAACAAATCTAACAAGCTTCTTTTTTTGGCTCTTAGGGAAGCAATTGACCCAAGCAATTGACTGCATCTGTTGTAATGTGGAAATATTACTGGCCAACACTAATCTTGTTAACTGTAAGTTCCAGGAATATAAGAACCAGGTACAGCATTTTACTTAAGATTTGGATAGTGGGCGGCACCATAATGCAAACCTTGTATGCTTGAGATGGTGAAATCCTGAATGCTAATTTAAACTGTAGAGGTTATAGTAATTAATTCTATAATTTGGTGAGATGAAATATCTGGACACTTAGTAGATGAATTATTTAAAATAAAAGATCTAGACTTCATAATTATCCCCCTGTTTGCATATGATATACTGGGAAGATTTGCATCAAGAATTACTTAGGGACTTTAATTACCTTAAAACCAAAGATTCCTTGGGAACCTGATGAGAATGATTAGTGTCAAAGACAGAGTTATTACATTTTTTTGGTAAAAATCTTTACAAATAGACTGGAGAAGCCAATTCATATGTTCCAGTCATCACAGAATCAGATTTCAACTTGCTAGGTCACTCTTCCTCTGCTAAGGTAATTTCTAATTTTGGGACCCCCAAGATACGTCTCAATGTCTTCAGCTATTTTTTCTGCCTATTAGAGCAAGTTAGTAAGCTGTATCTCTCCACTTTCTCAGATGTAGCCTAGACAGACAGAGTATTTAACATGCCCATCACTCTGGCATTGACTCAGAGATGAAGATGTCCTAGTATTATCCTGACAGGAGATAATTACTCTGGTATTTATGAGATGGAAGAAGAGGAACTTGTCACCGTTTGAGTATTAACTATACTTTTGACACTCCCTATGGCCTCCCCCAGGGCATTTGGCTCAGGTCTCAGTCCATACACAGTCACCTGTATCTGTTAGGAATTTACCTTCCTCTCCCTAAAGACCAGGGTCTACAGCATCAATCCCCTGGCATTCAGTGTAATCACCTTGCTGGCAAGGTTTTTTGTGTCGATGTGATATCTTTTATTAGACCAGCTGAGTAGCTGGGAAAAAGTTATTTGCAAGCTTTTGAGCACAATCACTTTCTTCAAGCATAGGGAGTCTTTGCTGTTCTGAGACTCCAAGGAATGAAAGAAGCTAAAAGTGTGACAAGATGTCGATGAGACTGTAAATAGGTGTAATCACATTAAACTTTTGTTTAGCAGCTGCAATTCTTTTTTCCCTTTCTGGTGCAGTCTCAGAGTTAACCAATGAACAGTTAGCTTTCACAGAACACAAAATTATTTATTTTGTGGAAAAACCATTACTGATCAATTTTATGGGAAGTGGGTAGGTGTAAACACAAAGTTCACTGGTTCTTCTATATTCAAACATGTCTCCCTGAGCCTAGCTTTGTACTGACTATTTAAAAACCTTCAGTTTTCTGCATTCAGCCTTCCTATGGGGATGACCCTTGAGCTCCCTCCAACCCTATGATCCTATGATTATCCTGATCCCAGACAAGCCGGTATATGAATTTTCCTCCAGGGTCAAGGCTTTCAGGTATTTTTTTTTCCTGCAAGAGAATTTACATACATTCCAAAAACTTGTGTGACACTTATAGTTTTGATATAAAGTCTTTTTGATGCTTCTATATATGTCCATGACTCCTAGCACACCCCAGTCTAATAGGTTTTGACATTTCTGAGCTTCCTCCAGTGACAGAACTATTCACACAATGTACTAGTAGCAGTAACTTTTACTGGTAATAAGTATGGGCTGGTATAGATAGTCAAGGGGAGTAATCTAAGCAACCTGGTAGGTACATCATATGCCTTCTTATATTTGATGAGGATATTTCAAGGACATTTCACTTTTGTTGAGTATATGGACAAAGACTAGAGGGTACAATGAACGATACTTCATTCCAATAGATCAGGGGTGTCAAACCAACCTCCACTCCCCCATGCTAGTTCCAGCACCTGCTCTGGCCAGCCCAGGATGCAAGCTACATGTGCTACCTGTTCTGGTCAGTCCTGGGTGGGCACCACACACAGCATAGATACTGAACCATCTAGATGAGATGCTGCACTGCAGCACAATCCTGGTCTGACCAGAACAGGCACTGGATCTGGCTTGTGGGGGACCCATGGACCCCTCCCCACCACAAGGCCATATGCAGACCCTGGTCTGAGACTGCACTGTATGTAGCACCCACTCCAGAACCCATGCTGTGTGTAGCACCTACCCGGGACCAGCTGGAGCAAGTGCTGCATGCATGCATCCTGGAATGGCTAGAGTGGGTTTTGTGGGTGCTGTATCTGGCAGGTGGAGGAGGGATCGTAGAGTGGCCCCATGCAGGTGCTGTGTACAACAGAAATCCTGGAGCTGGTGCCATATGCAGCAGTTGTCTCAGGCCCTGCGTGTGGGGCTGGTCCGCCATGCACCATGTGTGGCATGGGGAATCAACTCAGACTCAGGGCCAGCACCAGTAGCCAGGCAATGTAGCTCCATGTAGCCTAGGCCATATCTTTGACACCCATGCAATAGACAATAAGTAAAAAGTTCCACTAAATTAGTTGGGAGCAAATATGAACTGCGAGTATAAATAGTATGCCCTTTAGGAAGAATAGTATGTCCTTTATGTAAGGAAGAAACCTCTTCCTTCACTTGTTCTAGGTCTTCCTCACCCAGGGCATTTTTTAAGTGGGGTTCTTATATATTTGGAAAATAAAATGTGAAAAGTGGAGAGGGAGAAGAATATTTGAAAACTAAATTTTTGAACGTTAGTTCAGAGATTGAAACTTCTCATGTGACAAATCTCAGCATCAACTTGGAGGAAGCAAGACAAATGTGTCTTCCTAACCCATGCACCAGTAGCGTACTGAGGCTACTTTCTGTGATAATAAGAATGGATACAAGAATCATTGTGTCACGCCGGGGTCCTTCAAGGAGGGCCGTGATCTCCTTACGGCCCCCTCACTGTGCCAAGTCGGCCCAAGGGCACCCTCAAATTCTCGCCCGCCACGTCTTTGATGTTGAGGTAAAGTTGGGAAGCTGCCTTACGGCTCCCTGGGCACGGTTAGCTGGGACCTCTGTCCCCGTGTGTTCCCAGACCCCCTGGGGGTCTCCCGGTATGATGGGTGCTCCCCAGGCACCCTAGCCTTATGGGCTACGTGTGGCTCCTACCAACCCTAATACCACGCCCCAAGCCTTGCTGATGTACCGGACGTTGGTCCGTCAAAATACACACCCGCTCCCCCGGGCCTCCTCTATGATCTAGCCCACTTCGGGCTCTCTCCTTGGGCTCACCGCACTGCTATCCCCTCTCCTCGGGGACAACCGCAGCACCACACCCTTGTCACTCTCTCCCCGGGTCTAAATTCCCTGGGCCTTCTCTAAAACCAACCAGGCCCGCTACGGGACTTCCGGCCGAGCCTCCGGTTCACCCAGCCCGCCTACGGGCCTCCCGGCCGAGCCTCCGGTTCCTTAGGCCCACTGCATGGCTACCCTCTCTGGCCCAGGCTCACCGCACTGCTATCCCCTCTCCTCAGGGACAACCGCAGCACCTTGCCTCTGCCTGAGGTCTATTGCCGTCTTAGCCTATAACCGGGCTCGCTATGCCCATCCCGGGCTTCTCAATAAGGTGCTCCCCCTCTTCGGGGCTCGCCGTGCCCACCTTGGGCTCCTCAATAGTCCCCTCCTTTCTCTGGGACTCATTGTGCCCACGCTAGGGCTTCCTAGTAGT